AATTTGTCATTCGCTTTGCTCCACTCTCTCCATATCCCAGTATGTCATTGTCTTGTTTCTGATGCAAGTTCATAGATCCATAATGATGCAACATAGACAGCTAAGGGCTAAGCATTCCCCTAAAAGATTATGTTTTTCTTCACAGAATCATTGTTTGCAATTTATCTCTTCTTTGGCTGTAAAAATCCACAGAAACATCTCTTGAAAAGAGGGATATACATCTAGGCAATTCATCCTGTATATGCTAATCTCACATGATCCAAGCAGTATGGCAGCGAAGCTCCAGGCACCAAAATGGATAGTTTTAGATCTGGTTTCTCCTTTTGGCTTTGAGAGTCAATCAAGATGTTGAAAACGAGAGCCAGTATGGTGCAGTGGATAGAGTGATGGACTGATAATCAGGCAACCTTAATAATAATAATGTGCTGTCAAGTTAATTCTGACTTATGGCAACCCTTTTCAGGGTTTTTTAGGTAGAGGGTACTCAGAAATGGTTTAACAGAGTGGCTCTTCTCTCTGAAGACACAATGGGGAATCAAACTCACAACCTTTGACTCTTCAGCCAGATACCTGACTTACTGAGCTATCCAACCAGCTGGTGCCCTTCCCACTCCATAAACATCACACCTTGAAAACTCTCTTAGGGTTACTGTAAGTTGAATGTGACTTGATGAGACATAATGATAGGAGAGAAAGGGAGAATCAGAAAAATAAGTCTTAAGCAGGTATGTGTGCACTGATAATGACAATTTATACAAAAAGTGAAAACAGTTCCTTTTAAGTTTAGAATCAGAAGAAACGAGTAGACGCACAAACTGTAGAACAGTCAGCTATTCATTGGTAAAATACCAATTGATCAATTACCAACAAACAACAGGTTTTCCTTAATTTCAGTACTATAAGGATCATGTGCAATAATTCAAATTCATGTACAGTACTTTTGAGTTCAGATTCATTTCCTCAAGGATTATGCTCTCTTCCTCCCATTCAGCTGGTATTTTATTCATGAATTGCTCAGAATTAAGGTTAGGGTGTGCCATGCTGTTTTAGTTCTTTTCTTTTGAACCCAGTACATTTAATCTCTTCTGTGGTATCTAATCTACAAATCTTCTGGCTGAGCCCCAAACAAGGTTTACAAGATATTTGCAGTGTTCCTGGAGTGTTTTGCCATTGCCATCCCCCAGTGAGTTTCCATGGTAAAGCAGGAATGTGAACACAGGTCTCTGAAATCCTTTCCCCAAACTTGGTCTTCTACATTTACCGTTTCCCAGCCACTCTGGCTCTATCCCTTCCTTGTGGGCATATAGCATTATTCCCTGAGTACTGTAGAGGTGGCTGGATACCTGGGTTAGGTATGGGAGCTAGAGGTTAGGAGTTGAACAACTCCCCCTTCCTGGGAGTAGAGCCAGCCTGTGTGGTCTTGGGCAAGCTGCACAGTCCCAGGGCGATTCCAGAAGAAAAGAAGGGAAAACCAGTTCTGTGTACTGGATACCTAGAAAACCCAGGAAAAGGGGCCCTCCCCAGTCAGCATGGGCACGAGGACATAGCCTAATCAATGCTGTAGCACCAGAAAGGCTATGCCAGCGTGATTGGAGAAAGAAGGGATTTAAAAGGCCAATTCCTTCAGGCTCCTCAAAGGTATGCAGGGCGTTCGCTTCCATCCTTGAGAGAAGCCTGCCCCCCCCCGGATACCTAGAAAACCCAGGAAAAGGGGCCCTCCCCAGTCAGCATGGGCACGAGGACATAGCCTAATCAATGCTGTAGCACCAGAAAGGCTATGCCAGCGTGATTGGAGAAAGAAGGGATTTAAAAGGCCAATTCCTTCAGGCTCCTCAAAGGTATGCAGGGCGTTCGCTTCCATCCTTGAGAGAAGCCTGCCCCCCCCCCGCCACC